TAATATTTTAGTTGCTATAATCACTTTTTTATATTTTGAAATATATAAAGCATGCAATTTAGCTATTTATCTTAGTTGAAGCTCACAACAAAACCAGAAGTAGAATTCCTAATCAAATTTTCATGTATTTTTTGTCAAAAGTTTTCTAGATCTACTAAAACAAATTTTAAAGCCTGCAATTAAGTTATTTTCTATTTTTCATCATGTTTACGTCCAAAAATCGACATAAATAACGTTCACATTTTGTGACATGATTTTGGACCAATAATAATTGGCATGATACCCCCCCCAAAAAAGTAATCATAACAATAATTCAATTGGCATAGTTTCCATTCATAATTAGAAACTAGAAAGTCTTCAAATTTAGTCGTACAAGCAATATTTAAGCGTTTTGCAATCAATGTTAATTTGAATTGACTCATAATTTGAAATGGAAAAATGGTGTCGTTTTGGCCACCCAAGTGGGAAAAAAATGACATCATCATAGCGCAAATGGTGACCCCTTATGAACAGTAGTAAGCAACTTCTCTCTTTTAATATTGTAGGGATATCCATTTTAGCGGGTTCAAGTATAGTTTTCTTGCATGGAAAATAATTAAGGTTTCATCACATCCACCCCCATGGCACCACCACCTCTCTGGGGTCCCTTTCTGAGGCTATCGTTTCCTAAAATAAGTAGAGCAATGATAGGGGTACATAAATAATGGTGTACAAAACTCTCACATGGGATGAAACCCACCCATTATGATGAAGAAGGGATCTAAGGGCAGGTGCGGGAGAGAGGGACTAGAACCTCCCTTTGGATTGTACAAAATGTCTAAAGAAAATGGTACTTGCCACAAAACATAAACAATAAAAAATACAATAAAAAAACACATGCTGCCTTCGTCACCGGCCCCCTTAAAATCATCACCCACGGGTGGGTTTCATCCCATACGAGAGTTTGGTACACCAATATATACATACGTCATGTATAACAAGAATAATTCAAATATGTATAGTAGTCATGATAAAATAGTACCACTCAAAAGCAAAAAAGAGGCAATACAGTGACTAGCGTTGATTACGAGGACAATGGTTTTATTATCTGTACCTAATTATTTCATGCTTACAGTTGGCTGTAAGTTAATTATGTTGGAAAAAACTGAAGTTGAGAAGTACTTCTACATTGATTATTATATGGAAATTTGTATGAACATTACAATATTGCAGTTTCTGCAAAAATAATTAATTACAGTATTGATAAATGACACCACAACTTCCTCCCAAACTATAAAATCTCTGAAATATAAACAATAAAGAATATTTATATTTTCAGATTTATATTATACACTTTCCGCCTTATTCTTTATTTTACAATTTTGATAATCATTTTTCATCCTTAATTTCTCTGGAAGGCTCGTTGGCTTCACCACTGAGAGATACAACAATGGACTCCACATCTTCTTCAACTCCCTGTACCTAAAATTACACTTTAACAATTAGTAAATTCAGCAACATATAATCACAATATGGTGACTAATTTGAGCTTATTAAACTATTGCGTCGTGAGGGTCTATCTTGAAAAGTCATTCTTTTTATAAAAATTAATTCAAATCCTTACATGTTGATTATTATTTCTAATATATATTATGCTATAAGGGGATCTTGAATAGTCCTTGTGCATATCTGAAAATACTAGTGGTGGCTCGGTTTGGTTGAATTCGAGGACAAAAAATGCAAAATGAAAAATAAATAAATAAAATTAGACGACGAAAATTTTAAATCATTGTCCATATAACTTGGATATTATTTGTCACATCAATGTGGAATAAAAATGGGTACTTTTGGGTCACCCATAACTGCTCCTAGGATTGGAACAAATTGAGCATGTTGGCTAAGTTTAAAATTCAATTAAAATTGAAAACATAGTCGTTATTGAGTCCCACTCGTCTAATAAAAGTCAACAATAACGATTAATTTTTCAATTTTAATCCGATTGTAATCTCCACCGAACACGTCCATCATAAAAGGTTAATGCTGTAAGATGAGAATTATTTTCTTCAAGAATTAAAAAAGTTAATTATTAGTCAAGATTCCATTAATTAACTATCTTTTTCTTTTTAGTTAAGCTAATGACTTGGTCAGATTATAATTTATAAATGGTAAGTTTAGTTAAAGATTTGTCAAAAGCCTAAACTTCATTATATTTTAATGCACATTAGTTAGGCATACCTTATCAATAATGTCTCCAACTAAACGTGCATCCTTAGCCGCTGTTTCAGCCACATTTTCAATAAAATCAACCGTGTTCCTAAATTTTCCTCCTTCCGGAAGGTGATCGGCAATGTTCTCCGCCACTTTATCCACCACCTCGGCCGTCTTTTCTACAACTTCTGTTATCTGTTCTATAGTCTCCACGGCCGTATCAACTTCATCTGCACAATTTTTTTATTTTAAAAATTAATGCTGTAATTATTTTTACGTGCATTAGAATTAGAGAATTAATTTCTCTTACTTTTGAGTTTCAACAATGGTCCCCATTTGTTGGTCACAAAGGGTAAAATTATTGTTAGTGCAATTCCCAGAATCCACTTTCTCCTGAATAAATTCATGTGGTTGGGTTAGCTAAATACATAGAATTTAAAATATTGTCAATTGTACTGCACTATTGTTGAGTACTGTACAACAAATATGCAAGAAATGTAAATCTTGACTTACAAGGAATTTGAAGGAGGCTGTGAGGGCAATGGAGCTCCAGGAAAACTGTTGTAGACAACGAAATTCCTGAAACAAATCAACATATTAGATGTTACCAACATTTAAGTATAATTGTTGGAGATGTTGGAATGCACATGATGTCATGTTATCATGTCTCGCCATCACTCATTTTAGGAGAACAGATATATTACCTTTTATTGCCGTTATCCTTGTCCATTCCTGAATAGCTGCTGAGATACCGATATCCCAAGCTCTGTCTACTCAAGAAAAGGCCAGGATTCTTATTTAATATAGAGTTGGAGCTAGAAACAGTTCGAAGCATACTACATGGCTTGACATGGAGGCTGCTAGTCGAAGTGTAAAATCTTGTCACCGACAAAAGAAATCTTGCCATTGACACAATTACACAACGCAACAATCTTTTTACACTTGATTTAAGATAATCCTTGCTCGGAAAATGAAAAATCGATGTCAAAAGTATTCTTCGTCGAACCTTAGAGTTGGTAGATTGGATTTATGTCTCCAAACACTAGAATGGAAAATTATATGAACAAAAGCTTGCAGAAATTAATATAAATGTGTACGAGTTTGTCAGAAATGTATGTGAAATGAGATTTAACAACTGCTGTAGCCTATATATAGAGGACTGTATTTTTTTTTAAAGGAGGTGACTTGGAGGGGTTGAAAAGATCATATTTCGAAGAAACTGCGACAGACACGCTATGGATTTAATAGAGACAGAATAAGCCCTCGTTGAAAATTGAAATGTTCTTATTCTTATCAACTAGCATGTAGCGATTGACTTTTCAACTTAAGGTTTTTCACTTATGTAAAATTTGGGAATAGGGTTCGCCGGCGAGTGTGGGGTGGGGGTTGGGGTTGTTCAGCATCGTGAGGAAAAATAATGGAACTTGCCAACATTTTTCTTTTACTTTTCTTTTCTTTTTTTTTTTTCCCCAAAGTTTTAGGTAACGTGTAACTTGCTAATTTGTTTGAGAAGACGTGCATTTTTGACACACACACAAATTCTTGCTTTGACCATTAAGTCATCGCAATCCCTCCAACATGCTGCCCCGGTTATCCCAACATATTTTGTCGAGTTCAAAGAATTTATTTATATATTTTGCCCTGTTTGGTGGGGTTAAAATAAAATTTTTAGTAGATTTTTATAAAAGTTGATAAAATGTGTGGTTAAAAAGTTATAGGTCTTATGAATTATGTGATTAAAATTAATTTTTTACTTGGACTTAGGTCAAAAGCTAAATTTTAATTTGAGTAATGTTATTAATTCCCAATAAAGTTACAAACACAGTTTAAGTGGTTCTAAATGATAGATTAAATGAAATGTGAAAATAAATGATCAAACAGGGACTTAGCATGTGATTCTCATTTAAGATCCATTTTGTCAAATATATGCACACTTGATTTTTGTAATTGGACGTGAATTCAAGACGAACTTAGTTGACACAAAATTAACTTAAAGTATGTATTCAACATATTTTACATGCACATCTTAACATTTTTGGTTTCGTGTGTGGAAAATATTAGTGGATGAATTTGAACCAATTGTTTGGCTTAATGTAACGATAAAGAATAATTTTGAATTTTGTCATTGATTGTAACTAGAACTGCAATAGATTTTTTATTTTTATTTTTGACTATACTAGTTTTTGGCGATTCAATTAGAATTGAGTAGGTGATGCAGAACGAAAGTTCTAGGTTTACAAACGTAAACCCAAAAGAGAGAAAATTGTAATTCACAAGAAAATAATTTCCAAAATTCAATGTGTTTATTCAGAAAATAAGAGCCTTTAAATAGTCTCGAGAAACTCTAATTTAAGCAAAAGACCAAAATAGACATCTACTAAATCAAAGCAACTAAAAACAGAAAAATCAAAAATAACGTTAAAACTTTGACTGCTTGGTAGCACGCCTTAAATTGCGAATTTGAGGCTGGAAACGACCGGGATAACCCGGTTGGGACGGTATGGAGCGCTGAGAGACGTTTCCGAAAATATATTATAATAGAAAATCTGACACCAGTGCAAAAAGTTATGCTGTTTCTTCGGAACAGCTCTTTTAGTCAATTTTCGATTCAATTCTTTTTCAAACTCTAACTTCAATTGTCCTACATCAATAGGATTACATGACCCTTCAGAACTAAATTTTTAAGTCTTCACTTTTACTAGACGAATGCTAAGTACCACTGATATCATATGTATTACTTTGCAAATGAGGGTTATCAGCTATTCCAATCGTCAGCTTCATTGACGGACGCCATGTCCTGATTAAACTTCAGAATGCAGAGGATTTCTCTAAAGCTTGGACGAGGGATTCTCACTCCATTGAAGGTTCGTTATTTAGGGTATTCAAATGGTCTAGGGATTTCAATGCTAAAGAAGAGTCTCCAATCACTCCGGTATAGATTAGACACCTCTCCTTCCATTAAATTTTAGCATACCTTCCTATTTGCAAGCTATTGTGAAGCCACTTGGTAAATTTCTGGATACTGATCTCCCAACAATAACGTTTACTAGACCTAGTTATGCTAAAGTTTGTGTTGAAATTGATGTCTCTGTAGCTAGGGTAGATGTTATTTGGATTGGATCAGATAATGGTAACGGGTTTTGGCAAGAGGGTGTGTATGAGAGATCACCTAAATACTGTGTACATTGCAGGCTACATGGTCATGAGAAATATGATTGCAAGCGATTAAATAAACAACATTACAATGTATTGGATTCCAAACAAAAAGATTCAACAATCAATACCTTTGTGCCCACTGATAAAATGAGTAAATTGAAAGTGGATGTTTAGGCAGAGGGAGATAAGGAACAAAACCTAAATGATGCAAAGGATAATAGAAAAAAATGATAGTGTTGAAATGAGCCCGAACAATCAAGTTTCACCTGCTAATACTCAAAATCTAAACTGCAACCCCACTCTTGATGAATTTGTTGAACATGATGAAGAACAGGTCAATAAGTCTCTAGATATGCATAATACTATTATGGAAGAAGAAAACCAAATTAAAGATAACTACACATGAGAAATGAGTCATAATAACATGTCAAAAGAGGAAGTTGTAATTGCTAAAACTTGAGCTTCTCAAAATGGGGATTTTCTTCCAGTAAAAAAGAGAGCTTTGGCTTCACCCCAGAACATGATCCCCTATCGAGAAATGGATAACATTCCGATAGGCAACTCCTTTGATGCTTTAGTTGATACATTAAAGTTAGATGCCCCAAGGCAGGCTGGTGATGACCAGACCTTAAGAACTGAGAGGGATGAGATTTATCACTCGAACTCAGATACTCATGATATCAGAGCCAATAACCGACGCAATAGGAAGCTCCGTCACATCTTTGACCTGCTGGTCAGAGATATCCCACAATAGTTCCTCTGATGAGTGTATTCCTTGTATGGAATGCTAGGGGGGTTGGCAATGCCACTACAACCCGCCACCTTAAATTAATTTATAGAAAGTATAATATTGCATTTCTAGCCATCCTTAAACCTATGTTACCTTTCAATAAAGCTTCTTATTTTGCCAGAAAGTTAGGCCTCTCCCAAGTCTGTTCCAACGAAAGTGAAGGCGAAAAGCTTTAGCTAGGAAAGGTTTGGCTAATCCTCCATAGTAATCATAGTTATACATTGATAGGAACTACTAATCAATTCTTAGCAATAACTTTGGATTGGAAAGGAGTCACTGTAGTGTTGGTGGTGATTTATGCTAAATGTGATTATTTGTTGAGGAGAACTCTTTGGTCATCCCTTTCGCCTATTCCATCTGCTAACTTGCCAGTTTCCAGTATTGCGTGCTGCTAAATATAATTTTGTACAATTTATCGACTCCAATTCGTTGTACGATGTTCCTTTAACAGGATCTCGATTTACATAGCATCGTAACAGGGCTTTGGTCAACCATAACTGGATGGTTACCTTTCCTGACTCTATGGTGGTGCACCTTGAGCGTAACCATTTAGACCATGCTTCACCTCTACTTCGCACAGAGGAAGAGAATAAAAGTAAGCCAGTGAACTTTAAATTTCAAAAGATGTGGCTTCAACACTCCACTTTTCTCCCTACGGTGATAGAATCCTGGATGAGACCTTGCACTCTTACTGGTATAGCTCAGGTATCTTACAAACTGAAGAGATTAAAGGCTGATTTAAGAATCTGGAACAAAATTGTCTTTGGAAATATTTTTCAGAAAATCAATGAAACTCGTGATAAAATCTTTATGCTTGAAAACAACGTTCAATCTGATCACACTCTGGATGCCAATCTCACAGCTCTTAAGGGGGAGTTAGACAGTCTTCTGCTACAGGAAGAGATTTATAAATGGCAATAGTCACGGGTTAAATGGTTATCCTGTGGTGATAAGAACACTGCCTTCTTCCACGCTTCTGCTAGGCAAAATAGATCGAAGGCTATGATTCACAGTATCAATACTGAGGCTGGTATCCTCACCGACCAGAAAGATATTCAAGAAGCCGCTATCGATTACTTTAAAAATCATCTCAAATCGGAAGATATTTCTACTACTGATTACAGGGAGATGACTTCTCTTATTCCTAGGTTAGTTACTAATACTGATAACGACATGCTCTTGAAGGAATTTTCTAATGCTGAAGTTCTCACAGCAATTAAAGATATCTCTGAGGATTCTGCTCCGGGTCCTGATGGTTTTACTTTATCTATTTTTATTCATGCTTGGACAGTGGTAACTGAAGATGTTGTCACGGCAGTTCATGATTTCTTTGGGGGCAAAGAACTGAATAATGGTTTAGGGCTTCTATCATTGCCCTGGTACCTAAATCTAAAAATCCCAAGACTTTTCAGGATTATAGACCGATAAATTTATGTCAGGTTTTCTTCAAAATCATATCCAAAGTGGTTGCCAACCATTTGATTCTGATTTTACCTAAATTAATTTCTATAAATCAAGGAGGCTTTGATACTGGTACAATGATTTCTGAAAATGTTGTTCTGGCACAGGAGTTAGTTCATAATCTAAATAAGCCTTCCCGAGGTGCCAATGTGATTATGAAAATTGACATGGCTAAAGCTTTTGATAGGGTATCTTGGGGCTACTTGTTAGAAGGGTTAAAGGTATTTGGATTTGCTGACACTTGGATCTCCCTCATTAAGAATGCTATTACTTCACCACGTTTTTCAGTTAAAATTAATGGCGTATTAGCTGGTTTTTTTGCTCAATCTCATGGTCTTAGGCAAGGTGATCCATTATCTCCATTGTTATTCATTCTCAACAAAGAACCACTCAGTAGGGGTCTAACAAAACTTCTAAAAGATGGTAGTACCGCTCCTTATCAGGTTCCTGCTATATGTTCCCCTATTTCTTATCTTCTCTATGCTGATGATTTCTTGGTGTTTACTAATGGCACTCGTCGTTGCCTTAATAATTTAATGAGATTTCTCTGACGTTATGAAACTATATCTGGGCAGTTAATTAATGTGGGGTCAGAGTTCTTTTATAGTCCACAAGAGAGTAGCAGCATCTAGAAAGCGTATCATTTCTACCACAATAGAATTCAAAGAAAACTCCCTCCCTTTTAATTATCTTGGAGCCCTCCTCCATTATGGTAAACCCGTCTCTTCTATTTTCACCCCGATGCTTGATAAAATCAAGAAAAAATTAGCAGGATGGAAAGGAAAGCTCCTATCCATGGGTGGTAAGCTCACATTGATAAAATATGTACTTAGTTCCATACCTATTTATTTATTTTCTGTGATCACCCCTCCTATAAAAGTTGTTAAAGAGATTCACGCCCTTTTTGCCAACTTTTTTTGGGGTGAATCTGAAGAAGGTTTTAAACTTCATTGGATTTCTTGGAACAATATTTGTTATCCGCAAAAGGAAGGAGGTTAGGTATATGCAGTCTCTTTGATGTGATCAAGTCGCTTAAATGTAAAATGGCTTGAAGAAAAGTTTCTTCACATTCCCCCAGGCTGATTTCTTGGGACAAAAATATCTCAGTCATAACCTAGACATAGCCAACATTCTTGTCAGTACTGAAGACTTATCAATATGGAAACAACTCTCACATAACTTTCCATTCACTTTAGATCATAGTAGATGGCTAATCCGAGATGGCCGTGTTCTATTTTGGTATGAAAATTGGAGGGGCTCACGTAGTTTATGTGCACTTAGTTGGACTATCATCACCCCAAATTTAAGACTTCATGATGTTGTTTTAAATGGCAAATAGAACTTAGATAAGCTTTTTACTTTGGGTGGTTCGGCTTTAGTGGAGGAAATTCAACGTTTACATGTTCAAATTTGGTCCCCTTGCAGCAATGGTTTATTCTCTACAAGCTCAGCTTGGTCTCTTATTAGAACTACTAGAACTACTATTCTTCCGTATAGGGTCATTTGGAACCCTACCATACCACCAAAAATTTCTATTTTTTGTTGGTGCCTTTGGCACAACGTGGTTCCAGTGGATGATGTGGTCAAGCGTTGGGGCTTCCTATTGTCGTCAAATGTCATTGCTGTTCACAGGGACACGATGAAACGATAGACCATATTTTCGCTACTAGTTCTATTGCTCTTCAAGCATGGAAATATTTTGGAACTATATTTGGGGTGCGCGTGACTATTAATATTTCATGGCGATCTATTATGTTACTTTGGAATACTCATTTTGGCGGGTCAACGCAAGAACATCTTGTTGCTCTACTTATCCCACTATTTCTTTCATGGGAGCTATGGTTAGCTAGAAATTCTGCAAGATGTAAAGATGAGGTAGTTAACTTGCAAAAAATTTGTGCCAAAGTTAAACGTTGGATTCACGAATTGAATGGGTTTCTTAAACCCAAAAAAATGTCCTTCTATTTCTCTCAGATATTACACATCTCTAAGGTTACAATACGAGTAAAAACTCCATTCCTGGTTAAATGGTACCCTCCTCAACATGGGTGTTACAAACTTAATATTGATGGTGCGAGTGCTGGTAATCTAGGCTCGGCTGGTTGTGATGGATTGCTTCGAGATTGGATAGGGAAGGTCATTTTTTTGGGTTCTATCATTTTCTTGGGGTTGGAACTAACACTTTTGCTCAGGCATCAGCTTTGAGAATAGGCCTTCAACTTTGCTATGTCCTTGACATAGATATGGTTGCAATAGAAACAAACTCTAATGTGGTGGTTCATTGGTTCCATCATAAAGATCAATACCTTGGTCTATTCGTCTTATTTGGGAGGATATATTGGTGCTTGCTCATGTTATATCTATTGATGTATCGCATATTTATCGAGAAGCTAACTGGCGGCAGATTCATTAGCGCGACTTGGAGCTCAAGGTAATTCAGACTTCTTAGAATCAATCTCCAGTTTCCCAGAGTTTATACTACTGGTTGCGTCTGCTTGGATAATTATAACTTGCCTTGTTTTCGTTTTCCGTATTAGTCATGAGGTTCTATTGTAAGGGAAGTAATACTTCTTTTTTTACTGTTTTACTTTATTTCTACTATAAGGAAAGTAGTACTTTCCCATTTTGTGCTTCCTATCATTTCAGTTGTGACCACAGTATTCCTCCGCCTCAAGTGAGGACGTATCAATAAAACATCGGAGGTCCCGCACTCCTTCCTCTGAAAAAAAAAAAGAAAAAAGAAAAAGCCTTGAACTATCGTATACCTTTGTTGCCAATTTGGGTGATTTATATTGAAAATAGAGCAATATTCAGTAGGGATTAGATGTTAGAAGTAGTCACCAAACATCTGGAGTTACGGCCGAAACAAGTATTTGTGTTCTATTTTAATTTTTGGCAAGTTTTTTACTTTATGCACTTTTAGATTTCTGTTTTGATCACTTATAATTTGTGTTTGTGTGCATTTCATCTTGGAAAAACAAATCCAAAGTATTTACTACGTACACTGGCTAGGATTTGTGTAGGAACAAAATATTTAGCTTTATCTTGGATCTTTGACTAGAAAATACGAATAAAAGAACCATCAATACAATTATTATCATCGCAAATGAATATGCATATAAATTACAATATGATATTGTTTTACAATAGTACCAACAATAATATTTACCATTAGGTACATATGAAAAAGAAATATAAACTTGATGAATAATAGAAGAAATCAAATCAACAAATGAAATTTATATTTACTGACAAATTATGATTTTTTTAAAATTAATTCAAACATTTCATTAAGGTTTACTGGCCAATGTCTCTTCATTTCCATCTTTGGGAGGCTCCTTGGCTTCATCGACAAGAGATTCAACAAACGTTTCCATCTTCTCTTCTGTTTCTTGAACCTGCATTAATTCACATATCAATAATAAGCAACTCTCTTATAGTATTCTTTAATTACTTTCGCTTTCGTCTTAAAACTCAATAATCTTGTTTTATTTTTCTTTCAAAAGTGCAACAAAAGTTCCACATTGATCACTCGATAGGAGATGGTTGGAAAACGAGATTCACTCCAAAATAAGTTAAACTTTTCAAATGAAACCGCAAATCCCAACAAAAAGATTGTTATAATTAATAATTCGTCTCAATGTACAATTTATTATCAAATTTCAATTTATTAAGTTAAAAATCAACGACTATAGACTTTTTCAATAAAGCTGTTTGTACAGCTTTTAAATGCTGTACAATGTACAGCTCTCTCACATAATATGGGTCCCGCGATCGGGGCCCACCCTCCATGTGAGAGGGTTGTACACGGCACATATAATAATTCTGGGTTTAACTGCTCCACAAGCAACCAGAAATAAAATAAAAATATGAAGTCATGCATGTAATTAAGAATAACCATCATTTTTCTTGACTAATTTAAAGTCATCTAGAGGACGGTTAGACTTTTTGAATACATAGGGAATTGAGATTAGAATAAAGATTTTTGTTAATTAAGTTAAGCAAATGACTTAGTCAACATATTATAATTAAATGATTAGTTATATATAGACGTTAAGTTTAAGAGTTTTTTTAATTTTTTAATTAATTGCAGGCATATAAAGCAGGCGTATTAGGCAAACCTTATCGATAAACTCTTCAACTTGATGAGCATCCTTGGCTACTTCTTCGGCCATATGTTCAACGAAATCCACCATATTTCTCAGTTTTCCACCTTCGGGAAGATCATCCACGATGTCCTCCGCCACTTTCTCCACTTCCTCCGCCACCTTTTCTACTGCATCCACAACGTGTTCTATTGTCTCCACCGTGGTTTCAACCTCGTCTGCACATTAAAAACAAATACATATGACATTATTGTTAGGGAGGATCAAATAATATTAACAAAAAAAATTAACAAAAAAAATAATATTAAAATAAAATTCTGATAGAATATATCTTGATACTTACTTTTGAGTTTCAGTAATGACCCCCATTTATGGCTGAAGAAAGGTAGAACTACTGTAACTGCAAATCCCATAATCCAGTTTCTGCATAAAATTCAGAGGAAAAACAAAACAATTTTAGCCCTAGACGATCAGATTGATTAATTTATAAAGGCTGTGAACTTCAAAGTTTTATGCTATGCAATTAGACTTACAAGAAATTGAAAGGAGGGCCGGAAGGAGGAGGCACTGCAGGATTAACAGAGTACACAACGAAGTTCCTGAAATAAAACAATTTATGAGGCTCGATGAGCCAAAAAATCTAAACCCTCTAAACATATTTTTGCTCGATATCATGTTGAAGTACATGTCCAAAAACTTAAGCGAGTAGACAAAAGAAAATCAGCTTGATGAATAAATGCTAGCTACCTTTGATTATTATTCTCCTTTCTCGTTCCCGTGTTCTTTTTGACACATTGCAAGCTCTGTAGAGCCCAGAATAGGCTCTGATCTTTGAATTTCAACATAGCCAAATTTGACGCAGAATTTGGGGAGAGAGTATTGGAGCCGATAGGACGGCTAGTTAAAGTGCCATTCCCAATAAAAGATCTTGATATCGACATAACTTGAAAGATTGAGAAAACAAAGTCTAGTTCTGAATACGGTGCAAAATACATAAACTTTTTCCAATGAAATTGGGTATTTATAGATGTTAACAGAAGAAGTTACGAAATTTATAGGAAGGAACATGGAAGATACTGGATTGACATGGTTGAAATTTGAAAACGTGAACAGACACGCTGTGTCTTTTGAATATTCATATATTCTTAAAATTTGACTTTTCTCATATTTGTAATTGCTTATATTTATATTTTGCACATTTTGGACACAAACTAGCATGGATTGTCTTATCAAGTTGTACTATTTTCTTGGATAAAAAGTTATGGAAATATGATAAAAATAATGGTCAAGTTTTTGCTTTTTCTTGGATAAGTCCATTATGCACTTTGACTTTTCTACTGGGCTATAATTTGTCCAATAAAGCTCGGAAGTAAATGAAAATTTTAACAAAATTGATACCACCATTGATGTGGCCGAAGTTGATTAATTTTTTTTTTCCCATCATCCAATGGTGTCACGCTAAGCATTATATGTTAAAATTTTCTGCCAAAAAAATCTGCACTTATATAGCATGATCGTAATTTGTTTTCTACCACTCTTATCTATTTTTCGTCTTAAATACATGTCTATATAAAAGAAAATTTATGCCCAGCAGCCAAGATGTACTGGTATTTTAAAACGCTTTTGTTAAAAGAATGGAGTTCACGATTAATTTGAGAGAATGTGAGGCGAATCAGAGATGAAATTTATATACATATTTGACATATCGAACTTCGACCCATCTAATACTTGACACATGTAATCACCAATGCCTTCCTGAGCTGCATGTTCCTACACCAGCTTCCGACCTTTTGGAATCGTCTATTCCTTGTGGATCACCAAGAACTCCTCATTCTTGTCCTATCGAAACTTCTATTTTCTTCGTCGATCTTCAGAATTCTGACCGAATTTTTGGAAGTGGGTACTTTGGTGTTTTGAGAATTTGGATTGATGTTTTCTAAAGTGTGGTTGATTGATCCCAATGTTAGGAAGAATATAATGATCAATCACTAGTATGGACGAAATATGTCTTGGGTATAGGGGTGTAAATTTGGCCGCTTGAGCAGCTCAAATTGGGAAAAGCCCAACCCGATCTGACTCGTGACTCGGAAGAATCGAGCCCCATTTTGGAGCGTCGCTCGAACCCTAGCCAACCCTGTGGCTCGACGAGCCACACAAGTCGGCACGTGTCACAGGCACATAACGAGCCGAGAATTAAAATAAAAAAAATTGAATGAATAGATAGCACTATTGCCTTGTGCAGGCAGTTAAGTAGCTACTTGTTAAGGCAGTAGCGTGATGCTCGGGGCAAAAAAGATTGAATCATTTTTGTTCGAGTTGAGCCTGAGCTTCGAATTTTGGCTCACGAACCGGCTCGACTCGTTGACATCCCTACTTGGGTGTATATGGTATAAAAGTTGTTTGGGGTTGTTCAGGACTCAAAAAACTGTTTAAATCACGAAACTAAAATTTTCTGGATAACATTGTCCCTTGAACCCCAAGCAAACTAGCACTAGTCGAGCGATAGGTGCGCCGATCAAGCGGCAGGTTTGCAGCAACTTCTATATTTTGGGTGCTCGAGCATTGGTTTGATGGTAGGTTAGCATAATTCCAGTAACTTTTCTCCTTATTCCATACTCGAACCCAAAACTCCTAATTGACTTGTACAATTTTCTAAATAACTCTTTGAATTATATAATTCTTTTATAACTTTAATTTTGTCTAAAGAATAGCTAATTACAATAAACCCTAACAATATTCAAGAAAAGTTACGAGTGTTAACATACAAACTAGTTGAGCTTCCTCACAAAAAGTGACAACTTTCAAGCCCAAAGACGTTGTCTAAACCAAAACAATTAGGATCTGCATGTCATTTAAAACCATTTTTCTGCTAACAGTACCTTTAAGGTAATTCCCATTAAAAAATCATACACTTCAAATTTTACTAAGCTTAAGGTTGTTGTTAGGCTTTTCATTTTACCAAGCTTAAGATTGCTATTGGGCCTTTAACAAATTTTGTTTCTTTACATATTAGTTTTGAAGCTTGTTTCTCAGCCTGATTTTTGGGTTGAATTTCTCCATCGTTTTTCATTAGTGGAAAGTCACACTAAGTGTCCCTCAATAAATTTTTATTTTACTGAGTTATCACTCGAGCGACTAAAAAATTTTACTAGTATCTTAACAAATCCATCGAGGAGAATATTGTCATAGATAATATATATGTTATTTATGAGTTGATCAGCTACATATGTAGCTAGTATCCCAAATTACAAAAAACATACATTATAAAACTCAATCCTCTGATATATCTAATTAAGATCCCAAAAAGGAAATTTTATTACATTGTCTTTGCAAACCAACTGTAATACATATTACAAACAGGAAATGGATTCAATAATACTAGAAATTCACAATTGCACATGATATTCCTCCAGCTGAACATCCTTCGCCTTCAAAGGAACATAGTCTCCCAAATAAACCTCCAAATGATCCGAAAGTGCAGACTTGTCTATATTCTCATGATGATAAGACTTGCACACAAAATATATAACAGTCTGTATAATCAATCCAAACAAAATCAAATTCAATAATAACCCTAAACAAAGAACCCCAAATCCAATCTTCTTCAGAACCCCTACTCTCCATCCATAAACAACATAGGCTTTAAACACAAAATTTATGATGACAAGAGTGAAATTTAGCATAAAAAAGATGATTATCGTAATAAACATCTTCCCTTTGATCAAATCCTTGCTCTTGAGCATGGCCTTAAATCCATATGAATCTTCTAGAACAGTCACAACACTTGCCAGTTGCCAAATTATAGTCATGTACACAAACCCTATAAGATATAAGATTAATAAGATCATGAAAATCACTGCTCCAGCTGTAGAATCTGCTATGGTAGCACCCCACAAAATTAGGGTTAGTACAAAAATTATGTTGTAAGCAAACCAAGTAAAAAAAGTGCACAAGAAAGTAACCATGAGTCTTTTCCAGACTTTTGGGACTACACTCATAACTTTCTTGAAAGTGATTTCTCTTGCTGTGTAAATGCATGCAACTGTATAAACCACAGCAGAAGTGCACAGGAGGGAGAAGATAAGGAGGAAGGTGAAATAAACAGCCCTGAAGATCATATAGTAAGCCCATTCTGATGATGCAAGATCCGAAAGTTTCTCGTACTTCGGCGTGCCGGTTTTAGTCCAGCGTAACCGGTGTTCTGTGCGCCTGATTCTCCAGTAGAGAATTTCTGATACTTCTTCATGGGCTAAGAAGATGAAGGAGAGAGGAAGGATCAAAGAGAGGGTGATTTGGGTGAAGATTTTTTTCCATCTGAAAATGATTTTGCAGGATTCGAGGTAGATGTCGAAAAGGCCTAAGAATTGCATTTCTTCCTGTTCTCTCTCCATGATATGTTGATCTTTGTCGTAGAACTGTGTGAAGATAAGAATGGGAAAGCTAACTTGTGAAATTTGAAGCTCGAATTATTAGACTTTCATAGTTGAAATATACCCTTAGAGTTAAACGAAAACTACTTAGTTGATGTCGTATAGTGTTCGTTGTTTTATAATATTCATCACATCTGTGATACCTCGTTAAAAAAAATAAAACTATTTCGTCCATAATGTGATTAATATGGTATCAAATTCGACACGGTATGTCTTTCCTATGAAAAATAAATTTTAACATACCAAGGAACTTTTAAGAAATTTAATTAATCTTTAAAATTATGATCATATAATCAATATTATTGTTCTTCGATAGTGATATATACTAGGGACAGTTTTGTTTGAACATAACAACAAGATGATAGATGACATGCACTCGAAAGTGACGTTGAGAAAACGAAAGCATAGAAAGGTGTGGGTAGGAAATGCTTGATAGTTGATATTATCGTTATAGACCTCTTTAAATTAACTGAATTATTTGTTATTTTATACTGCAAAAGAAAAAAATAGATGAAAGTATGAATCATTAAGATATATGATTGACCATTAAAAAATTGTCACTTGTGATATTTCTATGAGTAATTATCTGCGCGTCGCGATTTTTATTAACTGCACCAAACTTTAATTATAATGAAGGTCTTTAATTTTGCTTATTTTCGCACTAATATCTCAAAAAAAAAAAAAAAAATAATTGTCATATTTTTCTTTTTAAACTTCAATTATTAATTAATATATCTTGTCTCTGGTCTTGGTTTTTGTCCAAATGAGCTCTGTTAGCACAATAATATATTTTATCGATCTTTTATATTTGTTGTTTATTTTACTTATTTAAAATTAAGAGGGACAAATAAGCTTTTACTTCCTCTTAATGCATTTTTGACAAAGTCATTATGAACAAGACGTGTTAACTAATAGAAGATCAAGGCTAAAAGATTGATGAAAATGTTGGAGACATAAGTGTGAAAATAAACAAAATTTGAGGACTTTCATTGCAATTGAAATTTAATGCAGTTAATAATACGGTTGGGCGAATACAATTGTCCTAATTCAATTTTTACTAGAGCTAGCTTCAATTTTTTAAAGAATTTATAACGCTTTAATTTATAAATAAATAAAAATGAGTGATCATTAATATATAGATAGTACTCGTATATTAATTAAAATGTGGTTAAATTTTAGTGGAAGTTTTTATGAAAATACAAATTTATAAGCTTCTAGTTTTGCATGGCAGTAAATGATTGGATTAAAAAACTGATTGTATTTTAAACTGTCTAATAATAGAATATCATATGACATTATGTCAAACTTTATATCCACCTTGCTGTTCATGTGGCAGTAAATGATTGGATAAAAAAGCTAACCACATTTTAAATTGTCAAATGATAGAAAAACACGTGAAATTATGTCAAACTTTATGTCAAATTTGATATCCACGTAGCATGATTGATTTTTTTTTTACATGATTATTTATCTATAATATATTAAATATCACATTAAATGTGAATCATTTTTTGAACAATTTTAATCTTATTACAATTTAATTATTTCAATAATGCTTTACTTTCCATTTTTCAATATGTAATCAATACTACAAAATCCTTGTTATGAATGAATTTCGTATTATTAATTCTCAATTAATTAACATTCACATTAATTTAGACTCAATGAATCTTAATCTACATGAGTCTAGAGTTATTATAGATAAATTTATTTATATTCATAATTAACATTTACATTAATCTAGATTCAATTAATCTCTTGATCTACATGGATCTAGAATTATTATAGATAAATTAATTTCTATTCATGTATTTAGAATTTTTAATGGGTGTTTAAATTCATATAATAGCAGTTAATTCTTATATACCAAATGTAGTATAAAAATGTTGCTCATTTATAATATTTCATTATCAAAAAAAATTTGAATCATAGAAATTTAATTTTGAGTTACATAAAGATTAATATTAATTTGGCAATTTTAATGGATATTTCCTGTAGAATGCGCGTTTTAGTCATTAATCTAAACTTAATATATAATTCATTTTGGAATTTTTGGTATGTTTTAATCTTTCCCATCTCAATCACGAGACACGAGTGACATTTTAAGTCAATGTTTGGTTCAGCTAGATTGTTGAGTTAAAATTTAAGTTAAAGTTAATAATTAATTTTAATCATACATTTTATGGAATTCGTAATTTTTCAACCACATTTCATCATTTTATATCAAAATCTATTAAATTTTTTATTTTTATATAAATTAATTATAACAAATAAGAAGACAAAAATCAGACACGACAAAAGAAGGAATAAATTGTTAAGTGTGGACTGATTTTTCCCTTGGTCGCATAGAAAGATTCCTTGATTTTCCCAATGTCGGGGCTAGGTATTTCTAAGATATCATTTTGTCCCATTAATAAATTATATAAATGAATAAGAAAGACGAGCTACAAGATATAAGTCAATTCATAAGAAATTCGTAATTATATGTTAGACGAACATATCAAATACATATTGCGGTGCGAACCAAATTTCATCTTAAATTATGTGTTATAAAATGGTTTAACATGTTTTATTCAATTCAATTGAAAGTCGTATACGATCTTAACATTCACATTAACAGTTTACGCGATGTAAGAATCTGAATTCACAAATATAAATAGGTTGCATACAAAAAATCTCAATTTTATAGGTCTAGGACCTCTCACTACACCACGTGGTTGCGTATAAACCTCTTCATTTAAATAGGGATTTTCAAAGCTTGCAAACAAGATTTTCAGTTCCCCACGTCTTGACTCCTGGTGAAAGCTCCAACAAGAAGACTCATTCAAGTTGTTGGTTTTTTGATACCCAATTCAAGTGTTCCGTAAAAGGAAAATTGTTCTCATGAAATTGAACATCTCTAGAACGTCTTACTGTCCAAATCATACAATTTATATGGCTTTTTGAGCACAGGGATAACAAAGAAAACGTAACGTGAACCGCTAACATCAAATTTGTTTTTAATGATCTTGTACCTTGTGTAAGTTGGGAAAAAAAAAAACAAAAAA